ATACATATCTGTTTAGTGATCAAATATGTAGTATGTAACAATTCATATGTAAATAACTATAGTAATAACAGTTAATAATAATAATAATAATAATAATAATTGTCCACTTATATGTAGGTCTCTGTTGCTGCTGCTGCTGCTGCTGCTGCTATTGTTGCTGATGATGCGTTGTTCTTTTCCAGTCCGTTTTGTCTGTCTCTGCTTTCGTCCATTGTTGTTGCTGTTGTTTGTTTGTCTGCATGTGTGTCTGTTATTGTTGTTGCTGTTGTTTGTTTGTCTGTATGTGTGTCTGTTATTGTTGTTGCTGTTGTTTGTCTGTGTGTGTCTGTTATTGTTGTTGCTGTTTGTTTGTCTGTGTGTGTGTCTGTTATTGTTGTTGCTGTTGTTTGTTTGTCTGTATGTCTGTTCTTGTTGTTGTTGTTTGTTTGTCTGTATCTGTGTCTGTTATTGTTGTTGCTGTTGTTTGTTTGTCTGTATGTGTGTCTCTTCTTGTTGTTGTTGTTTGTTTGTCTGTATGTGTGTCTGTTATTGTTGTTGCTGTTGTTTGTTTGTCTGTATGTGTGTCTGCTCTCCTCTCATTAAGCTTTTCCTGTATAGATTCTTGCCTGGTTCAATATATCTCTAACATACCTTAAATCTATACCGGTAATTCTTTCTTGCACATTAATCCCAGCTCAGTACTATTTCTTTATCTAAAAGTAGGTGGTGTCCAACTAAAAAGCCTTTGCTACTTTGGCCACCACACACATTTTTATAATCTGTACTTTATTTATTTTATTCTGTAATCATTTGTTGGAACTTTACTTTTCTATCTATGTTGATTTTATGTAAATAGTGTGAAATAAATGAACCAAATGAACCAAAAAAGCAAATGTAAACCTATCTAGCAATAGAAAGTTGTGAAACCATTACGGGCGCATTAGGCGGCTAAAAGGACGAAATCAGGACATTGCAGGCCAGAGTATTTTACAATGCAAGTCTTGAATATCTGTGAATTAACATGCCGTCCTCTGTGAAAAAAAAAAAACAGTATCAAGTACATTCCTCCCTGGGTCTGTTTTGTTTTACACCGCTTCTTTCGAAATCAAACCAAAATGGAAATACATTTTCATCAGCGTTACAAACTCAGGCGGATGAAGGCCGTAAAGGTAATTGGAAGGCCAATGTTCACTCTTATCTTGAATAATCATGTGGAAGCTTTTGTTTAAGCGCTTTAACTAAACTCTAAGAAAACACTCAATTTCCTATAGCCCTGTGCGTTTGAGAAACGTTTGTGCTTTTGAATTGAAGTTCCTCAGTTTCACAGCATAACAGTTGTCGTATCACTGGTAACATTTTACTTCAGTACTATCTTTGCCGATCAAATTATGAAACCGTGGCTTTTTCATAAATGACTGGATTTAGAATATGAAAAATATAAATGGACAATTCAATAAAAAAAAGTCATTTGAAAATGTCACCAGTGCGTCTCTGTATAATTACTTGGGATAAGGCATATCAGTCGACTTTACATTACTTTACATTACAAAAGAAAGCTCTAAGAATAATCATCTTTTCCAGCTGCACTAAACACTCAAGTCCTTTATTTAAAGACTTGAATGTTATCAAGCTGTCTAATATCATTACCCTTCAACTTGCAGTGTTTACGATAAAGTTCCGACTTACCTTTAGTCTTTAATATCTTTTTTAATCCTGTTAGGAACATACGTAGATCTAACACTATGTTATCCTCCAGGTTGACTTATGCTATCCCAAAAGCCAGAAAAAAGTACAGAACTTCAACATAACGTTCCAGGGTACTAAAGTTTAGAATGATATAAGTGATGACATAAAGCTTCTCTCTCTTTCAAACGTTTTAAGAAAGAGTTGAAGTCAATTCTTACTGCTAAATATTAATTGCAGATTTACCAAAACTATATTTTTCTGGCTTTCTAATACTGGTATACTTAGGTTTCTTTTGTTGTCTTTCTTCATTTTTCTACCAGCTTTTTTCGTTTTTTTTTTTTCTTTTAATGTACCTTGCGTAGTGTGTGCGCAAGTGTGGTCCCAGACCTTTAGTATTTAACAATTATTCGCCTCAGGTTCGGGGAATATCGTCGAATAATCCCCGAAACGAAGTCGAGGGGATTATTTGACAATGTTCACCGAACCTGAGGCGAATGATTGTTTTAGTATAATTTCAGAGCTCAACAACAGAGAAATTTCTAAAATCATAACATCTTCGTAACATTTTTTAACATTTATTTTAACATTTTATATAAAGCGCGCGGAGCGGTTTACATAGCGTCATATAAGGAACCACTCGACCAATCAGATTGCTGGAAACTCTTTGCTCAGCTCTGAAATTATACTAAAATCATTAATTAATAACCTAAGTAAACCGGCTACTGCTCTTTTTAGCCTTTAATGGTTATTATGTGCAACCTGTTCTCTTTTGCTTTTTTTGTAATAAAAGTTTTTTTATCGTGTAAATTAATGTAGGGTACAAAAAAGGTTGTTGTTGTTGTTGTTGTTGTTGTTGTTGTTATATGAGGATTAATGCCGGCACAGCTGGGTAGATTTAATGCCGAGTACATGTACAAGTAATGATCAAAGAATTCTGCTGAAAATACTATTTCAATTAAGAATGCCTTTTACCTGCTAAATGTACTTATTAGCAATACATTTGCAAGAATATTACCATGAGCTTCTACCATATAAAACTCTGATTATCTAATTGTAAATCCATATAATTCCTCAGATTGCCAAGATTTAAAAAGCATGGATTATTGCCTCAGAGACTGCCTCTAAAACAAGATGGCGCTACAACCATTTCGGGACGAGCAGTTAAACTATTTCAAATTCGCGTCCATTGTACTGAATGAGTTCCCGAAGACCTTACGTCAGACGTTCAAGTCAATGTGGGACAACAGCTTGACACGTCTTCCCGGTCATCAACAGTGGGATGACTCCATTGTGGTTAGAAACTTATTTCTCGCTTCAGAAGGTGGCCCTGGCAAAACCAAAATTCCCACAAACGTCTCCTATGAAGAATGGGATTGTACCGCTCTGTTCCAGGCCACCATCTACGCCAAGTCCTTTGCTTTGCCTGACGGTAGAGGTCATCACAGGACACTTGGTGAGCTGTTCGTGAAACCTCGAAAACTGGCTCATGGAGTGTTCCATGCATCGGTGACCAGCCCGAGTGGAAACAATGCTGAAACGTGTGCACTCGCGATTGATCAGCTTCGACTTTTAAGAAATTCGCTTTGTCACTCGCACACCTCTGAAATTGTTAAAGCCACCTTTGACCAGTACATGCAGCACGCTAAGGACGCATTTAAAGCTCTTGGTGTCAAGACGGACCCTATTGATGTCATTGGGGGTTTGTCAGAGTCAGAATTTCCCACAAATGAAGTTCGTAGACTAGAAGAAGATATGAAAGAGGAAAATCGAGCTTATGTCAGTTTCCTGCATCAACATCTGGAGAGCATCAGCTCAGATGTGGAAGCCTTGAAACACAAAATGGAGGTTTTGCCAACTAAAGACGAAATCGTCAAGATTCTAGAACAAATGATCAAGGATTTGAAACAAACACCAACAAAGAATATGCCAGGTAAGTGTATGTTCATTTTCAAAGACAAATGCTTTATGTTTGTGATTATGAAACTATTTCCATGTCCAGATGGCGCTTGAAGTTACGGGTTTATATTTGTAAATGATGCTGCTTATCCCTGTAGCATTTTTTACGCTAAAGCATATCAGAATTCCAAAATTTCTGCCAGAATATTCTCAATACTTCATTGCAAAAAAGGCTCTGAGGATCACTAAACAATTTTGTAACCTTTTCTGATGAAAATTACCCGGCACACAGTCTGTGAATTTCCCAAAATCAAACGTCATAAAAGTGCATCAGCATCATTTTTTCCATAAAGACTTGCTTCATATTTGATCGCTGTTTCTTTCATTTAGCTATTTAGGCTTTCCTGAGATGAGGGAAGGGATTCTATTTTTTAACAGACTGATCGTTTGAATAATTCAGAGTTTCTTTCAAACGTCTGCTTATTTTATTAGGTATAACTTTGGGTTTCAGTTTAGCTTATTTACCATTCATAAAATTATTCGTAAAGATGGTTAATAGGCTGGCTTGACTCCTTACATGCATTACAGATATAACCAGTTAAAC